AGGGTCTAGGCCTAGGCTTGGATTTTTGTTCTACTATTTCTCATCATTTAATTATTTTTAATAGTTATGTTTGTTGTAGCCTCGTAGATATGTTAAAATATATGGCTCGCACTTTTGGGGAATGCCAGGTAGCGCGTTAAATCATGCCTCGCACTTTTCGTGAATGGTAAATCGATGCCTCGCATGAATCGTCATTATGCCTCGCTGCCTTGCATGCCTCGCTGCCTCGCACTTTAGTATTACCCATTCTAGTCTACTATTTTTACCTTCATAAAACAAAAAAACTAATGGTACCTCATCTTCTTTCTTTTCATCTGAAAATGTCTCATCATTGTCTATCTCTCCTATTTCTCCTTTAATAACCTCTTCATCTATATCCACTTTTCCTTCTTCAACAATTGAAATATTCCTTGATTGGTTTAAATCTGTGCCATCTTCTTCTCCTACATATGAAACTAATCCTGATTTGAAGAAAATAAATTATTTAATTTTTAATATCATTAATTGGTCTACTGAATTCTATCTTGAAAATTATATATATAAAGCCAATATAAATATTATAAACACCAATTCATAATTTACATATATCAACTACAGTAGAAGGATACAACATTGTAGAAAAGTGTAAACTATTTTAATTCATTATTGATCATTTAACTTACTTGCAACTCCTTTGATTGCCACACCTTTTTCCTCATCTGAATCTGCATCTGAATCCCCTTGATAACTCACCAATGACTGCATCTTGGAGATGGAGTCAGATTTATTCATGTTTTTGAATATTCAGTAGCTGATTGATGAATATAAACCTGTGCAGAGTTTAATGAATCAATAGCCAATTACTACTCAACACAAGCCTAAAGATATCTTTACTAGCACAGCATTGGGCAATTATTGAATATTATAAATGTAATATTATTTAAGTAATTGCAGGTCTCCCTCCAATTAAAGACCACTTTTGGGACCAAGATTTCCATGGTCTTAGCAGCTTTGGTCTCTTACAAGAATGGACATTTGGACCTATGGGACCTCAGAAAAGTGGTCTTTAATGGGTCTTTTCCATGAATCGGTAGACATCTTGCAGTGATGACGAACAACCCAAGTCAGTGGTGCGCAACCAACAGAAATAAGATAATTTTGCTATGTAATCCAGCTAGATTTTTGTGCCAAAATGGATTTTATTGCTCATCATCGTCATTTTTAGTGTGCTGAATTCAAAAAAGTAAGGTGCCATTTTTTTTATCCACATCATCAGCCGCCAATTTGAATTTAAAGATGGCCGACACACCACATAAAACATGTAAAGTAAAGTTATGTTTGGTGTCAATGGAAAGGGAATTATACACTGATCACTTTATTCCATTACACCTATACCTAATAATACATTACAGAGATACAGACCAAGTAATAAACTCACTTGACCCAAAAGGTCAAAGGTATCTCTAATGCATTGATGTCTGCAGAAACGTGTTCAACCATGACCTTTATACAGTAATAGGCCTACACACACTACGTATGTTTCATTTCATCGAGAGACATTCTATGAAGGCTAACTGAACTTAAAAATTGTAAATATTAAAAAGGAAAAATATACTTTGCTGTTAATATTATTAATTACTACTGTATTATGTTATAGTAATTATACAAAACTTATTATTTATTATTGTCATCATTGTCACATTAGGCCATGTAAAATAAAACAATTTTCATGGTAGTGAGGAATTTTTTTTTTTTTTTTTTTTTTGAAAACATGATAAAAGAATGTCGCAAGGAAAAACAGCAAAAAAAAAAAAAAAAAGAAGAAAACAACAGACCAAAATTACATACAAAAAATTATACAATTCATTATAGCAAGCAGAACATTTACCTATGAATAACAGTGTCATAATGCAATTATCTCTATATAATTACGCACAATTTACTCCAACACAACAGGCATCATGGATGCCATGTGGCTACAGTAGGCCTAGGGCTATAGAACAACAGTAGGGCATAGAACTGAAAGTGGTCTGGCTAGCATGTGGACAGTTGGTAAACTAACCTATATTAAATTAATTTCGTGAGTGTTTTGTTTAAAAAAAAAAAAAAAAAAAAAAAAAGAAGAAAACAACAGACCAAAATTACATACAAAAAATTATACAATTCATTATAGCAAGCAGAACATTTACCTATGAATAACAGTGTCATAATGCAATTATCTCTATATAATTACGCACAATTTACTCCAACACAACAGGCATCATGGATGCCATGTGGCTACAGTAGGCCTAGGGCTATAGAACAACAGTAGGGCATAGAACTGAAAGAGGTCTGGCTAGCATGTGGACAGTTGGTAAACTAACCTATATTAAATGAATTTCGTGAGTGTTTTGTTTAAAAAAAAAAAAAAAAAAAAAAATCTGGTCGGTGGCCTTTTGGATGGTAGGGTGGGGATGCTAACCAATTATTTTATTTTACATGGCCTTATTAATAATATTATAATATTATGTATGTTATAGGCCTTATCTATTTAAATTATGTGTACAGCAGTGTACAGTACATTCCAATTCGGGACCCTCAAATTCCGAGACCCCTCTAATTCGAGACCACTTTTCCAAAGACCCAAATAACAATCTTCAACCTATTAACACAAATCTAGCCCTCTAATTGGAGACCAACCGCGAGACCACCCCAAATTTTCAGGTCCCAAAGGTAGTCTCAAATTGGAGGGAAAATTATTAAGGTGGAGACTAATCACAAGTGACAGAAAACAAGAGTTGACATCTTTCGGGAACTAAAATATTATTTCTACCCGTACTCGACAAATTTAATCGTCCCTGCCTTCTTCATTGTGATATCTTGCATACCGTAGTTTGAAATTATTAATTACCATAAACACAATAACAGTTATGGTTTATGCTGCTGTACAGGGCTGTTATATGTATATGCATAGTTATTAAACTGTCTTGCATTATGCGGGACGGTCCTGCATTTCAAAGTGATTTTGGATGAAACACGCATTTTGCAGAAACACATGCGTGATCATAAATTTGTCCTGCATTTAGCACAAGTCTATGTATGATAACGAATTATCAGGAATTCAGGGGAAAATGTATTTAAACATAGAAGAAATTGGTAAATTAAAAATATAAAAATGGTCATGCAGTAGCTTGAGTCTAGAGAGCTTTTGTTTATCTCGTTCGAGAATCAATTCATCCAGAAAATTTCTCTTTTCCTACCAAAACAACAAAGCCAACCACACACTTATTAGAATTTAGTAGTCGCGTGTGATCTTGTGCGTTCATTGCCACAAACAACCAACCCTGGACCATGGGGACTCTGGCGGCTTCCCCCTCCCCATTCAACTGGTATAGTCACGAATTTCAAATCTCTCAGGTTGGTAACTATGGTATACAGTATGTCAATAAACTATAAATATATTGTACCGTAGTTAGGCCTAGTGTGGTTCAGAAAGCAATCGACAAATTTTTCTACATACAACGATAATAAAGCGAGCTATCCCAAAGTGAGTAGATATTTGATGAAATGTGTTATAAATTAAACTGTGTTAGAAATAAATATATTTTTTAATCTTGAATCTATTTGTTTTTATTCTACTCGTAACCAAATGGAATCTAATTCTCAACTTCGGATAAATTGGTCATCCTGAATCTATTCATTTACAATATATTTTATATTAATGCAATCTCCTTTACTCAATTGTTGTAACATTAAATATTTTTAAAAAACCTCTATTACTAAATGGAATGAATTCTGAGCTAACAATTTTTCTCTTTCGTGGGAGTAACACTCACCTTTTTTTCAATCTTATTTAAAATTTTCAATTTTAGAATACACATAATTTAAATAGATTGTAGATAAGGCCTATTACATTAGAATACTATAAAATAATTAATAAATAGTACAATTTTGTATTACTATAACATAATACAAAATTAATAATAAAAACAACAAATACTATTTTTCATTTTTATTATTTACAAGTTGCATATTGAATAAGTCTCGAGATAAAATGTAACGTACGTAGTGTGTGCAGGCCTATTATGAAGGTCATGGTTGAACATGTTTCTACAGACATCATTGCGTTATGGATACCCAAGGTCAATGCATTACCTTCTGAAGCACAGAGGCAAAACCTGTAAACTAAAATAGTCAATTTTTACCATAACATAACTCGGACAACTATCACTTTATTTAATAAAAGTTGTTTGTTTGTGGCAGTTTTCTACTCTAAGTTTGGCAATATTTTAATTATTTTTGCATTCGTGTGGTCCCGTGTGGTGTTTAGTAGTAATTCGACCCGCCTAGGCCTACTAGTGTGAATAGGCCTAGGCCTAGTAGATATTTACTTTTAAGTTTTATTATGTTGTTTTTTTTTTATTTTTTATGTTTAGTTATGTTTGTGTGCGCCTCGGAATAGGTTTACCTAGATAGATGGCGCATTATAAATGGATTATTATTATTAATATTATTATAGTAGGGCCTAGTAGTAGGCCTTCTAGCCTATGTTAGGCAGCTAGAGAGAAGTAGGCCAGTAGAGATGCTAGGTAGGCTACCTAGCCTAGGCCTTACCGCTAGCCTAGCCTAGGATAACTAGGACTAGTTTAGCTAGCCTAGCCTAACTAAAATAATATAAACCTATAAAACGAATAACACTGTAATGTATGTACCTACCCCCTACGAAACGCACACACACACACACCAGTCTATCGCAGGCTTAGAAATGCAGTCAGCCTGATCTTTCGATCACATCCATCAGCAAAAACGATCTAACAAAAACGCCATATTGTTGAATCAAATTAATCTAAAGAGGGCGTTTCTCGATTTATCTAGGCCTATGTGCTTTTCATCAACATCATGAAGGCCATGTTATTATTAATATTATATTTCGATATTTTAGCATATTTTGTTTAAACCAAAATATAATGGTTTGCATAAATAACTACCAAGGCTTGTTTATTAGGCTTACCTAACTATGTATGATAGTATCCACTAATCGGTACAGTATACGAAATCATGACGTCTTTGCAAACCATATCAAAACATAAGAATGGGATAGACTATTAGGCTTAAAAGAGAGGTGATATAGAAATTAATTTTATAAATATATTATTATATTAAACAAAACAGCTAAATCCTAAGTTACTTTGTAGTATACAATGTAAAATATATTTCGAGTATGTTAAAAGATCATTTAATTATATTACTTACAATTATATCAATATACAAAATTTATTAGACCCTCTGGATTCTAACATTTTTCCGCGCGAATACTGAACCTTTAGCTTAAGCGTCGGTTTTATATATAGGCCTAGCTGAATTTCATATACACTCCTCGTAGGCGTATCTTGCGGCTGGTCCTGTGGCCCAATGGATAAGGCATCTGACTACGAATCAGGGGATTCCAGGTTCGAGTCCTGGCAGGATCGTATTTTTTTTTTTATAATCAACTAAGCCTAAATGTTGAAACAAATACAAGCACATCTGTGCAATTTATTATTCTAAATCCAAGTTTTCCAAAAGAGTATTAATTTTCAACACAAAATCATACGCTCTCCCAGCAGCACTGCTCCTGGAAAGGAATAAAAATCAGGGGATTCCAGGTTCGAGTCCTGGCAGGATCGCAATTTTTCATCTTAATGGTATTAATCAACAATTAGGCCTAGGCCTAAATGTTGAAATATACAAGCACATCTGGGCAACTTTTCAAATTTTAAGTTCAAAAGAGTTTTTCAACACAAAATGTCACCAGTTTCATATCTCCAAGCAGCAAATCATGGCACAACAAATCAAGGAATTCCAGGTTGCTGGATACAATATAAATTCTAAATATATTCGGAGCAGGCTTATCTCATGAATGGTCCTGTGGCCCAATGGATAAGGCATCTGACTACGAATCAGGGGATTCCAGGTTCGAGTCCTGGCAGGATCGTAGTTTTTTGTTTTATCTAAATGTTATTGATAAGCAACTAGGCCTAAATGTTGATATTAATAGGTCCATGTTGAAACAATACAAGCACATCTGGGGCAACTTGTTTTTCAAAATCTAAGTTTTCCAAGAGTATTATTATACACTCATGTATGGGGGTGATGGTAGGGGGAGGAGGGGCTCGATGATCAGTTGAGGAGCGCTATTACTTGCATGTGATTGTTTTGGTGGTGGGGGTGGCGACGCGAGAGATACTCCACTGGGCTCATGAATAAAGGATAGGCCATGAATCGATCAGGGGATTTCAGGTTGAAGTCCTGACAGGATCTTACAAATTAAACTTTTTTTTTAAATATTTTTAATGAATGTGTTAATTTACTGTATTATATACCCTCTGGATTCTACCATTTTTCCGCGCGAATACTGAATCTTTCGCTTTGGCGTCGGTTTTATTATATATAGGCCTAGCTGAATTTCATATACACTCCTCGTAGGCGTACCTCTCGATTGGTCCTGTGGCCCAATGGATAAGGCATCTGACTACGAATCAGGGGATTCCAGGTTCGAGTCCTGGCAGGATCGTATTTTTTTTAATAATCAACTAAGCCTAAATGTTGAAACAAATACAAGCACATCTGTGCAACTTATTATTCAAAATCCAAGTTTTCCAAAATAGTATAATTTTCAACACAAAATCAATACACTCTCCCAGCAGCACTGCTCCTGGAAAAGAATAAAAATCAGAGGATTCCAGGTTCGAGTCCTGGCAGGATCGCAATTTTTCATCTTAATGGTATTGATCAACAATTAGGCCTAAATGTTGAAATATACAAGCACATCTGGGCAACTTTTCAAAATCTAAGTTCAAAAGAGTTTTTCAACACAAAATGTCACCAGTTTCATCTCCAAGCAGCAAATCATGTGGCACAACAAATCAAGAAATCCCAGGTTGGCTGGATACAATATAAATTATCTCACGAATGGTCCTGTGGCCCAATGGATAAGGCATCTGACTACGAATCAGGGGATTCCAGGTTCGAGTCCTGGCAGGATCGTAGTTTTTTTTTTTATCTAAATGTTATTGATAAGCAACTAGGCCTAAATGTTGATATTAATAGGTCCATGTTGAAACAATACAAGCACATCTGGGCAACTTGTTTTTCAAAATCTAAGTTTTCAAAGAGTATTATTATACACTCATGTATGGGGGTGCTGATAGGGGAGGAGGGGCTCGATGATCAGTTGAGGAGCGCTATTACTTGCATGTGATTTTTTTTGGGTGGTGGGGGTGGCGACGCGAGAGATACCCCACTGGGCTCATGAATAAAGGATATAGGCCATGAATCGATCAGGGGATTTCAGGTTGAAGTCCTGACAGGATCTTACAAATCAAACTTTTTTTAAAATCTTTTTAATGAATGTGTAAATTTACTGTATTATTTATTCAGGAAAACATACAAAGCACAGGTTTACAAAAAAGATAAATACAGTGGCAGCTAGAGGTTTTGGCGCCCAAGGGCAAGAGCAAAAAATTGCGCCCCACCAATTATAATATTGTGAAATACATTAATATTGGTATATCCGTACCGTACTTTACCATGCACTGTGAAAATAAGCAAACTGTCTAAATAACATTATTTAAACCCAAATAACTATTATTCTCTCATAGAAGTAGTTTCTTCTTGAACTGCATTACGATGTTCGCAACTTTGTATACAACCATTATATACTGTACCATTATCCTAAGTTGTAAGGCTGTTGTATTTATCGCATACAGCTTTTGTAACATTGTTTAAACTCGCAACTGCATTTTGCGTGCTTTCGCATCAGCAAATAAGTCAACATGATCAAATAAATAACACGTACTAGGCTCAAGGAACACCAAGGCCATGCCAGGAGAGAGGGGAACAAGAAAAATCTTCTATTCATGCATTCCCACAGTCAACAACACCGTGTACATTAGGACAAAGCCGAACTAATAGCCACCGTACCATCAAGACATCGGATTTGTCATTAGTAATATTTGGCTGTCCATGTTTAATCGGACCATGGACCTATTAATAAGGTCCATGATCGGACCTAGCGAAGTCCCACCATTTCCCGCCTTCTGGAACTATGCCTTTGTTTTTGGTCGTTCCCACCCACTTTCCCGCCCTCGAACCATGCCTTCGTTTGGGCGTTCCCACCCTTTTGTTTTGTTTTCGTGAACAATGGCTTTTGTTTTAGCCTCTCACTAGCAGTCTTCTCATTGGTCAGTTTATCCATCCAATCACCATCCAGCTTGTGTTTTAGCCTTTCACCCTTTGGTCAGTTTACCAACATCCAGCCTCTCTACCCAAACATATAAGTATTCCCTGTTTAGTGTCTGCAGATATTATTCTCATGAAGACGATAGAAGCATCTCAATCGAAACGTCGAGACTTTCTCAACAACAACAGTTACTTTCGTGGTGTACCGCAAGCTTCAACATATATATTATTTCTTCGCCATGCAAACCTTTAAGCAATACTTAACATGATGAAAGCATGGAGGAAATAAAACAAAGTTAATGTCTGTGGACATTGGTTTACTTACAGAATTATTGTCTCTTGCTCTTATTGGTTGCTGTTCACCTGATGTTGAAACTTACACAAATCATTTTACTATTGCTCTTAAATGTTGTTTCGAGACCCATGCTCCTCTAAAAGAACTTTGCATAAGGGATAAAAAGTACAACTCTTGGTATAATGGAACTGTTCGTGCTGAAAAACAAAGATGTAGAATGAGAGCCAAAGAAACTTTTTGGCATAGTAAAAAGACTCACCGTCAACACTAAAACAGTCCTACCAACATGCTCCAACAATTCGGAACTTTCAAACATGTTTAGTGATTTTTTAGAATCAAAAATTGATAAAATCCGTGCTACCTTACCTAAAACCGATTTCGATTTGGCCCTTTCCCATGATGTCGAGTGTTCTTCTAACTTTCAGTTTTTTAATTCCATTACATTAAATCAAGTTTTAAAATTAATAAATTCATCATCCAACTCTTTATGTTCTCTTGATCCTATCCCACCTTCACTTTTAAAAAAGTGTGCTGATGTCCTTGCTCCCGGTATTTTGAACATAGTAAATTGTTCCCTTTCCACTGACATTTTTCAAAATTCTTTTAAAATTTCATCCTTCAAACCTTTAATTAAGAAGCCTAATCTTAGTAACGAAATTATTAGTAATTATCGCCCGATTTCCAACTTGCCTTTTATTTCAAAACTTACTGAGAAATGTGTTGCTGTTCAAATATCTCAATATTTGACACAAAACCAACTCCATGAACCGTTTCAATCTGCTTATAAATCGGGCCATTCGACTGAAACTGCTCTAAATTGTCTTCTTAATGATATTCTTTCCTTTGTTGATAACGGCATGGCAGTTGCAGTTGGATCTACCCACTGCGTTTGATACAATTGACCATTCTCTTCTTTTTCGTAGGCTTTCTTTCCATTTTGGCTTCTCTGAAATTGTTCTTCGCTGGTTTACGTCTTATGTTTCATCCCGTTTTCAAAAAGTTGCCATTTTTGATTCAATTTCTAAGGACACTGAGCTTCAATGTGGTGTTCCCCAAGGAAGCGTACTTGGTCCCCTTCTTTTCTGCTTTATGTTACCCCAGTTGCCAACATTTTACGTTCTTATAATGTTAAGTATCATCTTTATGCCGATGATATTCAAATTTACCTTCCTTTTTGCCCTTCCACTGAAACCATTTCATTTCAAAAACTTCCAACTTTGCATTAATGAAATTATAACATGGATATTCAACAATATGTTAAAAACTGAACCCCTAATAAACCGAGTTTATTGTTTTTTTTTTTCTAAATTCCGCACTCGACCTCAATTTTTTTCGCTTAATATTGAAGAGGTTATTATCAACCCTGATTTTTCCGTTCGAAGTTTAGGTATTATTCTTGACCAATCTCTCACTTTTGTTCCTCATGTCTCCTCATTTTTATTTATTCGTAACATAAGTTAGATTATTGTAATTCATTGTTTGTCGGTTTGCCTGATTTTGTTACTCATCGTTTACAGAAAGTACAAAATTCAGCCCACCAAACACGGCGCCCGGGGCACGTGGCCACCCTTGAAACCCCAGCTACACCACTGGATAAATAGCAGCATTTCTATGAAAATTCAAAAGCAGCATGAAGTCACTATCATCAGCAATGATGGGAACCTCCGCCTACTATTATACTGTACGTCATCATCATGTTATTTTTAGTTCTGGATTTTAATCTCCTAAAATGAGATTGTTTCACTTTATCATGGATTTACAGTCAATAGGCTAGTAATTTACTCATTGTTTTGCAACAAGTTTGCCAACGAAAAGTACTGTGGAAAGATCACATTGATTCTGGGCGGCAGAGGTGGCGCCAGGGAGGAGAAGGATCCCCTGTCGAGGTGATTTTCGCTCCCATCCTGGTCCGGTAAAAAAAAATATATATGTGAATAATTAAATAATCCCTTGAAACCCCTAAATTGTTATTTTCCGGGGCTTCTCCCTCGATCACTTTTGAGAGATTTTGAATGACACCTGGACCACGCCCACTTCACGTTCTCATCGGGAAGTTTCCCGAAAAATCTGTATCTCATTAACCGTTGTCAAGTTTTTTGTCAAACGCTGTGTTTATGTCTAGAAAAATCAGTTGTGCAGCCTATTAATTTTTCCCTGTCCGAACTGGCATTAAAAACATTTGAGTAAAACTTATCCAAAAAATGTCTTAAAAAATAATTATTATCCATAAAAACTTATAGTGTATTTCAAAATAAAAACATCTAAAATGATTAGGCCTAATACTTGGTCCTGTAAAGCTATGGAATTCGCAACGAACAATAGTAACACCACTGTCAATATAAATTAAGGTATTGGGTAACGTTATTATGAAAGCATGGGTCCCAAATAGAGTACTATGTTTCAATCAAAAGGTATACGCTAAATGCAGTATTATTGGATAAAAAAGGAAAAGAACGCTGTACATAAATGACACCAGTATACCAACAATTTACAATGTACAAACATGATAAAGAATTTATTAACAATTTACATAATAAACAACTATATATACACAATATACATAAAAAACATGTGCTTTTTATTTATTTTTTTTTTTTGAAAATTCCAGCAAACTGGAGATTTAAATATATTTTTATTATTATAGAGGCCACCATAAATGTATTGGTGTAGGAAAATATTGAAATATTTTGATTGAATTTCAGTGAGAAAAATTACTTATATGTATTAAAACAACTTGGCAATTAAAAAAAAAAAAAAATTAACATGGTCATTTGTATCAAGATACTTTCATCTATTTAAAACTTTTAATGAACATCATTTAAGGATATAAAAATTAAACAAGTTGGAAATATTTTTGCATCAAAAGTTGTGTTACAAAATCACAACTATGGCAGTCGTCTCGGATCAGTGCAAGGGTATTGCATCATTCAGGTCAATCACATCCTTGATGTCAAAGGTCTCGAAGTCATGGTTCATTATATATTGCCTTGAAATTTATATGTAATCAGTTGTTAAGAGAAAAATGAAAACAAATATGAAATAAACCATATACTTGATCAAAAAAAAATTAAATGATTTATAAGTAAGCAACTGTCATTATTGGTGATCCATCGAGAATTAAGAACTAGGCCTAGTGTAGCATCGTTAGAGCTTTGATCATTCAAAAACTAAAAATGTCATCACTATCACTGCCATCATCATTATTATCACCAACAGACCCACCACCACCACCACCACCATTATAACCATAATCATCTATTTTAAAGGATATGACACAAAGTCTAACTGTTGCTTCAGTACTCCTGATAAAATGAACTCTGCATTATGAACCTCTGTGGAAGATACAATATATAAATAAATTATTCAAAATCAATGATCACTTTATTCAGAAAAGTAATATAGGAATACATACAAAAAAATAGGTCAATGTTCCTTAAAACAATTGCAAAGTAAAGTCATACAAAAGACACATTAGAAAAAATTTAGAAAACTTAACACTTACAAAAATTATTAAAAGGCAAATAACAAGTTTAACACTAAAATTTTAAAATTTATGAAAAAGCATGAACATTATTTAAAGAAATTTACATTTTTTACAATTAAATAAGTTTATTGCATCATATTATATTAGTTTAAATTTTCAACACATTTTTTTAAAAACCATAAATTTGTTTTAAATATATTGCACCTCAAAAGAGTTATAATTAAAAAAATTAAATAACCCTAATAAAACCACAAACAATTAAAAGTATTTCTTGAAATTTATCAGTTTCACTACACATACCTATCTTTTCAGTGAACAGGTCTCTGCAGGCTGGCAAATCATTTTCACAGGTTATGACGATGAATGCAAATGCGGCAATGTTTTTACGAATCACCATTATACTTTTAAGGGATGGCCGGCTGTGAAGTACTCGTCCACCTCCGCTCTCTATGATGTCACGCATCATATCAATTCCAGGTTTGACCCCAGGTGTAAGGTAGAATATCATGTTCTGTTTTAGAAGAATTTCAGAAAAAAAAAAAAAAAAAAAATCCCAGGAATTAACACAAGATCAAACTGAACTAATGTGGACGGTCTGTCTCGGTTTCATCTTCGTTAATATCATTTTTATTATAAACTTACTTGAAACAGCTTACGAAGTTTTGATTTCCTCATTGATTCCCTCAAATTAAAATGGAATACTCCTTCAGCATCTTTATCAATCAGGACAAAATTTGCTTCATCTGAGGGGGGAAAAACAAAAAATATTCTATCCAACCCAGCCTGTTTCTCCTATTCATGATAACAAATGTTCATACTGTGTGGATGCATGTTTTTATTTACTTGTTCTGTTCTGAACAAAACAAAAGATTAAATAAATACAGCAAGGCTATGAGAAACATTAGAAAGAATTAAGATTATAAAAAATAGGATTCCAGCAGAAAAGCGTGTCTTTGGTTCTGTCTAGGACAGGCATCATAATTCTGTAGGCTTACTAAATTGAGCCAGCTGCATGACTCTTCTTCAAGCTCATGAGGAAGTAAGACTGTTTATTTTTAAGAATATAAATAAAAAAAATAACAACAACAACAATAATAATAAAAATAATGTAAGCACATAATACAAGAATGTTTCCTCTATGCGCTTTACCTAAACAAAAAGACAAATAACCATGAAATATCCTAACACTAAAAGAAAACTAATAAAGAAAACAGCATTAAAAGGCAGAAGAATCATTTTCATTGCTCCGTTTGCCAGCACTCTGATGCCCCAAAAAGTTAGAGGCTCGCTGAAACAGTACTCACAGGAGCTCTAGTGAAAATGATATCTAAAACTATACTGTAGATTCTTTTGCCTCTTTTATGTTGTGGTACTGTAGGTCTGTGTAATTAGAAATGGCTTGCCTAAAATATATCGACTTTTGTAGCTTTCTTCCACCCATGCAGGTGTAATTATATGATCACAGATCGATATTCCAGACAAGAATTTAACTGTCCTTGTCGCTTTGGCTGCAATGAGATGAGTACACTTCTGGATTGACTCCGCCAACTGACCACCAAGCCTCTCCAACTTCTAGAATATGAAAAGAAAAAAAAAAATCACCTTCACCATTATTTTGTTATACATTGCAACAATTCTATCAGTCTTTTGAGGAATATTTATGAATAAAATGTACTTCTCAGCAAATATTCAGCTTACTGAATTATGAAAATTATAAATGTAATATAAAAAGATAATATCTATTAATATAATATCTATTAATATAAATATTAACAAATGCTTGCGGTACACCATGTCGATAAAAAAGAAAAAAACTAAAACTTTTGTTTGAGAATACCTTAACAAGTTGCTCAAATCATCATTACCAAGAGAAAAATATCTGTGTATAAGATGTAATTATTGCAGAACCTTATGTAACTAGTACCAATAAAATTATATATACTGTATTTATTTGATCTAGAATACTGTCCACCCTCCAATTCAAGACTCCTTTAATTCGAGACCACTTTTTTAAAAACCAAAAAACAAATTGAATACCAAAATCCGAGATCACCCCAAATTACCAGGTCCAAAGTGGTCTCAAATTGGAGGGCAAACTGTAATGTATAGATTGCAAATGAAAAGTATTTAAAAAAAAAGCAAGCTTACCCTCGATAATTCATTGACTACCTTTAAGTCAATCCCGGTGAAAAGGACCCTAGGTGGCACTCTGTGAGGGTCTAAAGTGATCACACCATCCCAATCGTCTCCCTGATTCATTGTTCTATAATCAAAAAGAATATTAAAAAAAAAAAAAAAAAAAACTCCCCTGCACATGTCATGTAAATTTACAGGGAGTACCATAGTTTAGCTGGTTAAAATTTGTAATTACCTGTGTGGGCTGAACCGTTGGGATTTTTTTTGGTTCTGGTTTACAGTTCCACCGCAATGCTTTCCATGTGAAATATGGTTTAGCAAACTGTCTTTAGGACCTTAACCAGGAGCAGGAGTCCTTAATTGGGATGTGGGTCTCCTAGGCATAAGTAACATTTAGGAGCTGAGTGTCAATTAAATATATTTCATATACTTTGTTACCAGAGGCACACTATTTTCATTCCAAAGTTTAGATTTTAAGGGTGACCTTGTACCTGGGAGACATGACAAAATGAGCATGAAAAGTTGGGCTTCCATATGAAGAGCTACAATAGAATTAGTACAGGCGAATAGTAAATAATCAACTCATTTCCTCATCTAGCTCCTCATTTATTACAAAATTCCCAACTTTAACCTTGCACTTGTTAATTGTATAGCGCCTATCTTTCACGTACGAAGCGCTGTAAGCGACTCTCCACAATAAGTCAAAAACATCCCCCCAAGAAAAGCTTGCATAGAACCAAACCCAAGCAGAGTGTGCTAATGTAACTAATGCAATAAAGCAGTAGAAAATAAGAAAACAAACAAAACAATAAACAAATACAATCTAAGCAATGAAAGAGGAACTATAGAAAAAGATGTGTTTTTAGATGGGCTTTGAACTGTCTAAGCGAATCACGAGATCTGAGAGCATCAGGCAGACCATTCCAAAGTTGGGCAGCAATTGAAGGGAATGAATTGTCACCAATATGTTTATGGTAGACCGGTCGAACAAGTTGGATGGAGTTGGAAAATCTATCAGACTAGCATGTCAGATCTCCTGGATAGCAAGCGCACACTTTCTCAATATCTATTTGTAAATATATACTGTATATATGTCTTGTCTATATGTATGTCTTTTATGCATGTTATACAAATTTTCGATTTTTTAAATCATGTTTGTCTCTTGTGCATATTATTTGTAACACATGAATTTACTACTGCAATGAAGCTACTAAAATGTTAGTAGATGAATGAACACAATTTTAAATACAGTATAGGAAAATAAACTTTTGAAAAACATAAAAAAAAAAATTAAAAATGGTATTATTTGGAAGATAAGCCCCGCAGTTTGCTCCGTTTCTAGATGCAGTATCAAAACTATAAAAATAAGCAAAAAGTATGAATTTCGACGGTGAAACAGGGGGTTGTCTTATACGGCCAACATACAAAAATCTTCTCAAACTCGGGAGTTGTGTTACACCGAGTATATACTGGACATCAGAATTCACCACAGTCATTTATTATATTGACAATGCCAACTATACCTTTGTTTCTTGGCTGCTAAACCTACAGGGCTGTTGGCTTCATATTTCCGTTTATCTCCTTGTGATGCTTGTTCCTTGCTAATAACAAGGTTCTGAAAGTAAAGAAATGACATTTCATGTTCAACCACTAGATATATATCCAACATGCTGGCTCGCCAAGCCTTTTTCTTAGATGTTGCCTATTTCTGCCAAAGCATAGAAGGCGCCACCATATTGAACATCATTTCCATCAACTGTAATAGAACACTCACAAAGGAAGTATATATAATCAGATTGTTGTTTCAAGGAGCTTCCCTAAACTGCCAGGGTGAGAATTCATGTTCTGGCAAACACTAGCAGTGAGTTTACATACAAGTGCTATGTTTGGACAGGTCTGGGCATGTACTTTAAGTAAACCCTTTAAATGTGAACTCACTTCTCTGGCCTTTTTTTTTATATATATTTAAGAAGGATTACAGATAAATATATTGTACCTTTTGTGCTGTTGGAGAAATTCTTACTGGGATTGTCCAAGGTTCTAAATAAAAAAGAAAAAAGAAAATTGAAACATAATATTTAAAAAAATGTTAATCATAGATTAATGGAAAATAATTTTAGAATTTTAAAGATAATTAATATAACCCCATATCATTCTCTTAATTAAAAACACAGAATTATAATTTAAAGTAAGTCTTCAAACAGATACATAATATCTTAACGATTAAAGTCAATTAAATAGATATAAAAATAATGAGTATCATAGTTATGTACTTAATTTTACAATAATTTATTGTAAATTTGTTGCTAATTTTATATTTGCTACCAGTTAACTAATAAACAAAATACAATACAATTAAGAAAATAAGATGGGATGGTAATAATATATACTTACGCATTAAGGCAATATTCAGGTATGAGTCTATCCTAAAAGGATCATCCATTTCATACTGTTGATATCGTGGTGACGAATAACTGCGGACACCGTTCATACGTCCTAGGAACAAGTCGCTCAGCCATTGGAGGTTTACAATAGGTATGCGCCACTCGCGCGCCTTTACGAACTTTGCCCCTTCCAGTCTGTCATGCAAAATGTAAAGGACAATCATGAAATATACAAATATTTATTGAAATTTATTCCATAAAAATAACTTATAATAACATTATTATTGAAATGCTTATTTAAAAGAGCTTTCATTACAATATATTCAGGGTTTAAATCTGGCCAAAAAAAAAACAAAAAAACTTAGCAATTTGGCTAATTCGGTATGAAAGTAATATAAGTTTGACTAGCCAAAGAATATAAGCCATGATAGCTTTATTTCAATTGGCTATTTTGCGAATTTTTAATGAAAATATTTAGCAAATTTCAGCTTTCATTAGGGTTTGGCTATTTGGCTAATGACAGCTAAAACACTGATATTAGAATAAACATTCTACTTGAATATATTAGGCAAAAAAAAAAAATTATTGTGTATGAGCAATTGGAATTGGAATGAATGTTTGGAATATCACGACTTCGTTCAAATTTGTTTAGGCCTTGGCCTAATTCAATGGCTCATGGCATTACCTAATTTACAGCAGGTGAAATGGTATAAAAATCAATGGTTAAGATATCAATTATATAATAATTAAAACAGGGTTTAAGCTAGCCAAAAATAATATTTTGCAATTTGGCTAATTTGGTATGAAAATAATTAGCCAAACAGAAATTTGATTAGCCAAAACAAAAGAATATAAAGCAATAATAGCTTCAATTCCATTAGCTTTTTGGCTAATTTTGAAAGAAAATATTTAGCAAAATTCAGCTTTTATTAGGATTTGGCTATTTGGCTAATGACAGCTTAAACACTGATTAAAATATACCCAATACAATAACATAACATATAAAGCATCAAATTATGTCATGTATTTAAAAGGCCCTAATATCACATGACTTTCTGGGATGAGTTGATTAAAAATCAAAAAACGACAACGACAACAACAACAATAATAATAATAATAAATTATATAATTAGAAAATTCAAATGTATAGTAACATGGCAAGTCCTGGTATTAAAGATTAAACCCAAGGAATCAAGGGCTGGAAGATGACAGCCTTTACCACTAAGGACAGCTTCAGCTGGCACTTATATCTTGAATAAGAAATTATGTCTAACCGGTTGCAAATAAGAAGAGTGTTTGTCCTACTGAAGAATCCTGTATATTTAGCTCCTACAACCTCTAACATCGTCTTCACATCGATTCGGTCTTTGCCTTCAAAACCAGTAACAGCCACCACCTGCAGACAAAATAAAATTATTAATATTATTATTAATAATAATAATGGGTTACAAAAAAAACAATAAAGTGAGATTTGACATTATATCTGAATTTATATAATGGCATATTGTCTATCCAGCGACAACCATGCACAGCCATCTCAATCGAACACAATCAGCAACCACAGTTACATATGATCTACAGAATTGTATAAAAAAACCCACAGGCCTTTAAACACCATTACTGTTAAAGATTTTAAGCCCCTAAACTCCTAAACATGTGTCTTTGCTGACCCTGGAGGAGTTACCTCTTCGGTGCTACATACAGTAGTGACGCAAGTGCATGCATGTATTAACAATGCAAAATTGATTCTATATCTATACATACCTGATCTTTACACACATTAGTCGGCAAAGGGTACGAGTATACAGGGAAATGTATTGCTTTCCACGGTGGCAGCATTTTCTTCAGATTTAAGCAATCATTCAACCAGTTAGCGGTTACACAACGCTTGCCATCCTTCTCAGCCTAAGAATAAAAATCATGGAAATCTGTTAAGCTAGTTGAAGCATCAATAGCAAAGTTATAGGCCTACTGTAACAGTAGTAACCAAAGGATTACTAAAAACCAAACATCTGTCAAAAATAGAATTTTTTTTTTGTGGAGATGTGTGAAGTTTTCATTAAATTATTAACACTCTGACTGCCAAACACGGAGATCTCTGAGTTCGGTAACGCAACGCTGGACCGCCAAACACAGAGATCTCCATGTTTCAGGTGTTTTTAAGGAATCCGATAGATGGGGTAATTACAGACATCTTTAAAAATTTGAACACTATATTAAGTGTGGCCGGTTAAGTATTTCACTATTTGATGGTTTACATTGAGCTTAGCGATTATTTCAGCTTTGTTGTGCGAAATTGCGTCATTTCGTATTCTTAAAATGAACTTCGACTAGCACTACGACTAAATGATGTGAACCTCGACTAAAATTATACCGCCGCAGGCTGATTTTTTTAGTCAGCATAGGGTCAGGCTAAATCGCCGACTTGAAATATTTAACCTACTAAAAACGTCTTTTTTTGTAACTCACGATAGACTGAAAAGAATAAATATAATTGTAAAAGTAAGTCTGGCGCATCCTTTAGTGTGTTCACGAAAAGGGACATTAAGATTAGCTTCCAAAAGGCGAAATTAATATGTTGTGCTAGCCACATGCGATAGCTCATGATCTTGCACAAAATCCCTTCGCGTTGCGGTCTTGTAGCTTCACCATAACAAAGATGGCACCGCCCTCGCTCAGGCTCAAATATAACCGTTCTCCACAAAAAAAACAAATTAAATTTTCAGTGACTGTTTAAATTCTCTATCGTTATATGTTAAAAACTAACATAGTTATTGTTAAAGAAAATTAATTAAGCGAATGATGGGCTATTATGAAATAGGTTTTTGAACAACAGACAGCAGCTTAATATTCATCTGCGTTACCAGATCTCTAAAATTTCGTCTGCTATTAAAATTAGCCCTTTTCATTAGTTAGTTTGATAGTCGTTGCTTGCTAGCTGTCTTCAGCTGAACTAAAACTAGGACTTGATTTAGTTGTAGTTAAAACTTCGACTATGTTGTTTGTAAATAGAAATTGCAGTTGCAACTAGGACTAAATGAAGTTCTAGTCCGAAGTTTGACTAAAGCTCATTTTAAGAATATGGGCGTTAGAATCAGTATATTATGATTGGCTACCAGATCTGTGCCAGATCCTAGTTATAATACTGGTGACTCAAAATTTGAAATACAGTAAAGTACACATGACAAATAGAGTATATGAAAAATTAACAATTGCTATCCCACCCACTAGAAAAGGATTGCAAGATTGAACATGAGTAAAGAAGGAAGTGGCCGGGGATGAAAAACATATTTTTTTTTTTTGACTTGGAAACAAAATTAGCTATATATTTTTCATGACAGAAACAATGTAGTAATGTGCGTCATTGACTGTAATATAAATTCAAAAATACATCAAAATAAATTGCAATTTTTTAAAATTCTTACCAATTTGAAGATGTCTGTTGTTTGTGTGTCACACAAAATATGAGTGATACGATCAGAATAGCACTCATCTACAATTCCACCATGCTCACGGATAACCTAGAAATACAAGAATGATGCACTGATAAACTTGAACAATACAGTATAATTTAATATTTGATATAACAACATAAAAAAATAAAAATAAATAAAAAACAATATCAGAAAAAAAAACGAAAAAAAAAAAAAATTACTCAAAAGTGGGATTAAGATGAGCAGCAGTGTGATCTGTACATCTTATCAATAAAACATTTTGTTTTATACTGTTAATTTAATTGTTATACTCAGTGTTCTCCCGAAGCCATCTTAGCCGTCAATTTTAACGGTAAAAATAACCAACCAACCATTAAAAATTTTGAGTTTGTAAAATAAAAAAAACTATTGATTAGGCTTAGGTAGTCCAGGCTGGCCCTCTTAATAAATTAACATCATTCCAGTCTATATCTACACTATGAATATGTGTTGTTGTGTCTTCAAGTCATTTAACCCAACTAAAAAGGGGTAATGTACCTCACATTGTGCGGATTGCAATTTTTTATGGACAAATTTACCAGTAAAAATTTTTCAGTTGGGAGAACACTGTATACTGTGTAAAGTTTATATAAAGAGAGAAAATCCTTTAACAATAAATGATAGTTTTCTTGTTTTTACCTTTTTCCATGTTTCTGTATATTCCTTTCCGATTAGTTCTGGATACTCTATTACAAGGAAGATACATCCAAGAAGACAGTTTTCAGAAGTTACTATAAAGGTATAAAGTTTTGGGAAAAAAGATAATTTATTAATATTATTATATGAATAAAAGATCACTATAATACCAAGTTCAGTATTAATATTTTATTTGTGTAGACTGCAGGTGCTATGTACATTTTTAACAGTTGCATAAAGCTGTTTCTATTTCTTTTACTGTGCACTAGACCTAAAATAAATATTTTATGTGTTATAGGAAATTAATGAATTCAAAAATTTCAAGGCTGAAGAAATCAGTAAAAAACGAGACATTTTTGAAAGCTTTGCAACCCTGTTTGGGTTACATGGGAAAACATCACATAGAAAAAGAATATCAGAGATTACAAGGTAATACTTGGCAATATTGTACAGCATTCACTACATGCTGAAATAAATCTTACCCTTTGACAGAAAATTAATATTGATAATGAAGCAAAGCTATTAAGAAAATTAATGAATATATAACCACTTTTGAAAAAGTACTTTACTTACAAGTTATACTTGGGTCATGCCCAAAGAAATGAATTTGTGTAGCTTGCTGACCTAATGAAACTGCAGGATTAAAACTTTGATGCACCAAATGCTGTCCACCTATCTTACTCAGAACCTCAGCCAACTGCCTTGGATCCGGATCTTGTATGGACCCTGGCATGAAACCTCCATTGTTTGTGATGTTACGTAGCAAGCGGGGAACTGCACTGTTGGTGCTTGCAGTAGCAGTTCTAGGAGACTTAATGGGACCAATCTTCTTACGTTCGGTCTTTGTCTTTGATTTTGCTTTGGTTTTTGGTTTCTTTTCGGGCTCAAGGGGTTCAAGTTTTTCAATGTTCCACGGCTTTGATATGTGATATGATGGCCCTTTCTTCTCGGCTACAACCACCGGTGTAACCACCTCCTCTTCATTTACCTCCACTGCTTCCTCGGGTTCGTCCGTTTTTTCAAGGAGAAGTCTAGGATGATAGACCTCTTCTTCCATTATCTTTTTATTGTTTATACAGTCCGTCACCCAATCAGGCATAATGATATTTACATCTGTATGCTCTAGTGCACAATCATACTTCTTCTATAAAAAAAAAAAAAAAAAATACCACAATCATTAAATTAACTAGCATATACCCGTGCTCTGCACGGTGTTAAATGAGTGTGAAAGTTGGCGAGGCAGATAGTTAAATGTTATGGTAAGTTGAGGAGACAATCATTGAGGATGTTATAGTTAACTTGTCAAATATTTTTTCTAAAGGACCTCTTTATAGATAATGCTTTTACATGAGTGTCTCTGCCGAATAGCCCTTGTGAGGAATTGTCCATTTTGATAATAGGGGCCTACATTGGAGTACAGTACCCAATTGCATGTGAAAATGCAACATATACAGTAATAACGTGTTAACTCTAATGGATGTGTGTTCGTTGTTTTAATGCGGTGTTGTGGTATTGTCTCTGAATACATATGACTATGAATGTATGCATGTGGGACTTGTAACATGCATATTAGATCGATGGGTGTCACAAGTAAGTCACAACAGTTATAAGATTGGAAGTAATCAGCATGAAAATGTGTTAATTTTGACAAAAAAAACACAAAATTGATTCCTAAAGTTGCAGATGTTCGTCCCGTTGGTGGTAGCTACAACATGTGTGAAAATCCTAATTGAAATACTTTTGGAGATATTTGGTGGACAGAGAAAAACACAAAATGTTACTTTAATAGTATAGATTATCTCTGAAGCACATATGCTGTGGTTTCAAGATTACTAATCTATATTTTTAGCCTTTGGAAAATTAATAACAGGACAATGGCAGTATAAAGTAGATTCCAAGACACAATTTTTATTTAAAAAAAGAAAAACAATACGAGTGGACCAAAAAAATAGAATAATGAATAGTGAGTAAATTTCAGAAAAAGTTATTATTACCCCTTCTGGCTTTGGCACAATAAGATGCGTGGTAAGTTTGTTAAATTCCAATTGGCACTGACCCCCGTAAAATGTTATCATCGCCCACAGCATGTTCATATCTTCCTTGGATACCTAGAAAATGGAGAAATTACTAAAATCATAATTTTAGAATTTGATACAACTTACTCAGCTTTGTTTATGTTTATTTTATATTTATTTATGTTAGATTTATATAAAAATGAAAATATGGTTAATGGTTGATAGTTTTAAATTTATATAGCACAAAATACAAAGTCTCTATGCACCGTAAAACACAAGTATAGAGATGTTAGAAAATGTGAAAGAATGAAAATATAAAGATGAAAGTTCCAAGCCAAGCCAGCACTCAAATCCCAGTATGGGGATACGACCTCATCGCTAGTTACCAGGGATTGATCTAATTGAAACCTGGTCAGCACCTGTTGAGTGCGGAATATTCATTTTAGAAAAAAAAAAATACACTAAGGTACGCATTTATCTGGTCACTGGCCAGAATTGATAACATAATGTGTAACCTCCTCCACACTCTTGTACTACAGTACAGACACAAATTACCGCTTTGTATCTGCGCGTAGCCTCTCGTAATCTGCTCGTAGGTACGTTTTGAACGTAGCTACGAACCACTACGAAGGTCATTGTTATTTTAATTAGCTTTGCAATGATCGTAGGCTGGATCGTCGGGCTGATAAACAATGCGTAAACAATATTGAAATATAGTTTACCAGCTTTCAACACGTAAGCAATGTTGCAATTTACTAAATAAACAATGTTAGAACTTTATTGTTTTGTTATATCCTACCTTATTATTAAATCGATCATGTTTTAAAACTGTGTTTAGTTCGCTAGCTGGGTGGGTAACCTAGTGGGCATTCAGTATTTTCGAATTTCGATGTCATTTAAGCTTACGTACGGCCTACATTTTCCCCTATAGAGGAGGACAGCAGACAGTAGTTATACTGGTAAACTTTCCAATTCGGAGAATTTTGATCTGATATTATTCTTCTGGTAGTAGGAATTTTCTTCTTTTAAATACTGACGACAAATCATGTACAAATTATTACGATTTCTACAGATCACGTTGTTTATTGTTTACCGTAATTTGAAGCAGAACAACCTGCAAAGCGATCCAATACTAAATGGAAGTATAGAAACCACTACCTTGCCGAATTAAGGCTAGTCATGCTAGACCGCTTTTACTCCGTTTTTTACTCACTGTTGCTCACAGCTTTTCAACATTTGCCACGAGGTTAACCTTTAACACACTTTACTGTGTTCTGATTGCCTCTGACGTCTAATGCTGGCTAAGTTTTATTTTCCATTGGGTTTTCCATGTGACATTCGGTAATTTTACAACCAACGGACGTTAATTCTCCTTTATATTTATTATTTATCTTACTAAATCAAGACTACAGACAATATCATTTGATGAACAATCTTTTCACATGTGTGTATTGTCATTGAGGACATCGTTTTTTGACATTTTAAATGAGGTAAAATAATTGTAAATAAAAAATAAGCTAGGCCTAGGCTAATTAATTAAAAAAAAATAATACAGCAGTACAAACAAGTTCCTGTCGTGGATAGCGAGTGGAAGAGGAAACTCCCATGAAGTCAAGTGTACATTTTTCTTATTGAAAAACAGTTCCATACTTTAAATTAACGGTCTAAACTCGTGTTTGCCATTCACAAATTATCAAACAATACATTGTTTATTCCAGTAAGCTACAGCAGTCTTTCTATACATACAAATAAACAACATGCTTTTGCTTCGTAGGTTCGCTTCGCGTAGCCTTGCTTAGATTGTTTATATCAGGCTACGATGTATCTACAAAGCCTGCGCGCAGGTTAGATTGTTTATATCAGGCTACGATGTATCTACGAAGCCTGCGCGCAGGTAAAAGTGCAATATTTCATGGCGGTACTGTACCAATTTCATTTTGATTCATTCACCTCCTACTGTACCCATTTATAATCCTATTTCAAAAGAGACAAATGGATATAGTGCTTAACATGGCCAGTTTTTCCCTGGAACTCGCAATCTCCCACCCAAAACTTTCAGTGGAGAGCACTAATATACATCTTCAACAATTTTCTATCAGGTAGATGAAAGGCATTTGCACGGCTGGGCTACTTACCTTTGATGGTGTGGCCACAACACCTGTAAAAAGCTGATTGATTTCAGGTGAGAAAGCTGAAGTTGGTAGCTTTGTTCCACATCGTAAGGACATCAACACCCATCGAGGCTGAAAGTATTAACACATTTTTAGAATTAATGAACATGAAGTTGGTATCATAATATCAGACATCACTTACCGTAAATATAATGTTAACACCTATTATTCTGGTAAACACAACCATTTAGTTTAAACAAACTACTGCCTGAATTAAGACACTATATATTTTTGTGCGTAAAGTAACTTTATAAAAAATACAGTAAAATCTCTCAATTACGAACCCTCAATTTTACGAAGTTGATTTGTGGTGACGATGTCATTACAAACAATCTTTTTTAACTAAAAAAGCACTTGAAATTATATTTGAAAGTCTTTAAAAATAATATAAAACATTGCATCAACTGAGAAAAAAAAACATTTAAACCAATAAAGTGACATAAAACTTCATTTACTTTACCTTTTTACATGCTTTTTTTAGTGACATAAATATAATTAAATATAATTTTTCCTACAATAGTAGGTACTCTGCACTACAGACCGTAGCAATTTCTTCCTTACATCATGGAGTATCTCAACATAAAAAATGCGCAATTCAACGAAACACAGGAAGTTCATGTCAGGGTTCGTTTTCATATTTTGTAAACAACCAAGATGGCGCAGGCCATGGTTTTCTTTCAGCCACAAAAAAAATAAATTTTACGTGGAAATATGTGGATATAATAACCAAAACTGGTACAGTATGTATATTGAAATATATTTATTGTAGGAAAATGCCAGAATAGTTACAGTACTTTCTGAAAAGAAAGTGCATTTTTTAAGAAGACTTTATTCATCAGTATTGACGGCAGCGCCTTCCAGTTCGAGGGTATCATATTACAAAAACAATAATCATATTTCATATTTTTAATTACTCTAATCATTTAAGTTAAAAAGCAATAAGGAACATTTTTTATTAAATATTTTTGATATTTTCTCAAACATTTAGTGAAAATACATGCACACAATACTGCACATACGATTAAAAAAAAATTATTGTTAATTCATTATGATAATTAGCGAGCGCTTTAAGCACTTTTGGATGTGAAATGTTTAAAGCAAGAAATATCAACTCACTTGAATATGAACTTTCTCATTTATGAGAAAGTTCATATTCGGAGGGATGGTTATACATAATTGGGAGATGTTACTGTATAATATTTTATCGTTTTATAGAAAATTTATTTAAACTATATAAAATATAAAAAGAACTACTGTAAATACATATCAAAGTACTGTATTACTGTACTGTACACACTCACCGTAACAACCGGAAGGTCAAACAAGTGCTTTGCTTCACTGATCTCTGGGTGATCATTTTCCTCTGTATCTGCAATCACCATGGATACAAGGTCTGTAAGGTACATATCCTGCTTTCCTCCACCTTTTTCTAAAAGTTCTTGAATCTGAAAATGAAAAAAAAAATTATCATCATCACCTTTAATCACAGTCCATCAATCCCAAGTTTTATCATTTTATCACAATACAGTATTTAATATGATCCATATTTTTGGTTGATCCTTCCTAATAGACTTACAAACTTATTACAGATAAAGAGAATATTTAATGAAAAACTTGAGAACAGTTGATGAGATACAGATTTTTTAATATTTAAAGACGGGGGGAGGGGGGGATAAAGGGAAATAACAAGCCTCTTTCCTTTTTCATTTGTGCGACAAGTTTATTAATGCTGCCGGCTTATAAAGGCTTTCCGATTTTAATTTACGCATTAAAAGATCGCTTTTAAAGAAAGTGTTATATATATTATCAAGGTTCATGCATAGTCTAGATTGGAAAAAGAAAGATTTTCAACATTAGATCTCCCCCACACTGGAGCTGGAGACTAAAACACATTTAATTTTGTTCACACTTTTACAGACATTTTTAAATGTTAAGACGTTTAAGTAAGCCTTTAATTGAAATCCTAACTAGGGCCTAGGCCTAACTAACTGCTTTGCCTTTAGTTATCATCACCCACCCCACACATTATTATTTATAGGCTAGGCTAGGCGGTAGCCGATCATTCCGGTCGCGCTTCGTTTCGGTCGCGGTTTACTTTGAACAAATATATGGAGCGCCGAAGGAGTTGCGAAAACGAAAAATTTAATATGCCTAGGCCCTATATATTTTAGTTCGTGAATCGGTTTATCATAGGCCGAAATAAAAACCGTCCGATAGTATTAATTGATAGTTTAGTAATAATAGTATTAATTTTACTTGCTTTTAAGTAGCATGTTGTTACTTATTAGAAATACAAAACATAAATAAAAAAAGTATGATAAACCGACTGACGAACTTGCAATAATTAGGCCTAGTTATATTAAATTTAGCGCGCGTTTCGAAACTCCATTGGCGCTCCATATATTTGTTGAAAACAAACCGCGACCGAAATGAAGCGCGACCGAAATGATCTGTATTCGGCTAGGCCTAGGGCCTATCCTTTCCACCTCCAAATCCTGGAGAGGCAGGCATTCATACTAGTAGTAGTGTAATACTTCAATGACCAGCAGGCTACTTCTCCTAGTAGACCCTTTTAACTACTACTTTTATGCCTAGCCAATCTAGGCCAATGTCAATGATCGTGACAACTCAACACACACGCAGAAGTCACTCTGCTGATGACAACAGTGCGACCGCTTGTAAAAAAAGTAGGCTAGCCTACGACGAGAGGGCGATAAACTTGTATGCGTGAAACACTGGTAAACAGCGGGCTGGTAACACATAGGCCTACCTTATCAGCAACATTTCCAATAAAATAATATTTCATATTATTAAAAAATCCATCAGGCACATTATCCACATCCGGTTCTTTTTCAGCATCCATACTTTACATGAAAATTGATAGACCTTGTACTTTTTTGACTTGTTTTTTCATATCAGACAAAAGCGCGCAAAGGAATTGCCAGGTTACAATACAATATATTAGTTACAATAATTTGTTTGACAAAAATTAAAAAAAATAATGAAAATGATATTAATATCGACAACAATTTCTAAAACTCAAATGACACATCATAATATTCTATTAATAAATCTATTATATTAATACATTTATTATAATATCCATTTTTATCTGACTTTATCTAGTTTAAATATAATGCTTACCGTACACTGCTTTTTTCTGGCAATTCCGCCAGACTTGACTCTGTGTCGTCCCAGAGTTTGAAGGTAGTGAAGCATTCTTTTTAGCAAAACGTCATTGGAATTCAATTTAAGAGCTATTAAAAGGTATTTTTAATTACTTTATTCTAATATGCATTTGCATTATAAGTCATACGTAACTTCGATCTGATAGATGCATATGTTCCGTTTCTTTTTTATTCTTACCATGCTAATTTAGCTGCAGTATGATTCCTACTAGGACATCATCCAGGTTTCCATATGCGCGAGTGACAAACCAGCAGCTCAGTGGGAGAGAGGGGACGAACGCGCTGAATTGACGCGGTGTGTGCAGGGCTTTCCGGTGTGTACAGCCGGCCTAAAAACGCTTCTTTCTTACCTGGGCCGGATTTAGGGCCAGGTTACATTACTAACATATTGCCTCACCGGAACCGTATGAAATTTACACAGCACAGTATGCAAATATACAAACATATTATTGAATAGACGGTTTAATAATGTACTAGGCTGGGCTAGAACTAGGAAAGGGAGGCTAGTGGTGATATGTGTGAATACAGTACTGGCTACTCCATTGCCATCCTATTGGATGGGTGTGGTGTCACACCCATCCAACGACGATGGAGAATGTGTGACCAAATCTTATGGGAGGATGGTGTGACATCTGCACATGCAAGGGGAAACCATATGTTGGTGTGTGTGTGGAGATTTGTGTCCTGTTGATATATGAATAGAGTAAAATAGAGATAACCAGCACAGGTGGACAAACGAGGACTGCGGCCAACATGCGGCGAGCCGACAACCACCTTTGACTCTGATATAAAATAATTGTTTTTAACTGCCCGACATTGATCATCTGTAATAATACTTTATTATTAAGACAGCATAAACTGTCTAGGCCTATAAGGTTATTCTGGAAATTTCAGTTTGGGTGCGGCCCACAGTGTTAAATAAAAAATTCACTCCTTCTGAACCATATTTATGCCCACCCCTACATTGATCATCCCAACACCCTGATTTCCAGCTGCTCTAATTATTTATACACATGTCAAAAAATCAGGCTAAGGATTGTTAAGAGCAATTTGATAAATAATTTAAAAAAAAATTAATTAAGGCCCTATAAAAAAAATTATTATTTTATTACCCTATTCAAAGAATAAAAACTGATGAGGGAGGGAGGCTTTTTTTATATATATATATTTTTTTTTTTGCTAGCCCCGCCCCAATTTTATCGATGTTCAAGTAAATCAATGGTTAGGGACACATATATATAAGAATGGAATCAAATTTATATTTAAAAAATATGTTTTTTAGTACCAGTAAACATATATTTGCAAGAAATCTTGAGTTTTCCAAGTAAAAAAAAAGATGAAAAAACGACCGTTTGAAATAAAAATGTATGTTGCTTAAAAAAAAAAAAATTAAAAAAAATTATAATTTCCCCCAAAAGTGATGAGGGAGGGGGTGATAAACTAATAATTTTTTATATGGGGCCTAATAGGGCAAATAAATCTGATATCTATCCAGATTAAACATAATGTCAGAAAGCCAAGAATCAGCAACAGCAGCAGCAAACACTGAGACAGCAGCAAGCACTGAGACGAATCCCCCTGAAGCAGCATCGAATGCAGTTGGTGCAGAAGCAGCACCAGCAGCAGCTGACAAGACAAAAGAGGAAGCAGCAACTGGTGAAGCACAAGAAGCTGCCAAGGCACCGCCACCAAACCAGGCCCTCGTTGAAGCAATGGAAAAATTCCGTGCCCTCGGCCAAAAAGCCTTTGTGCTTGGTGCTTCAGGTAAAATATTAAACCCTGTCCAGACTATCAAATTATATTTTGGCAAAAACATGCCTAATAAATATGGTCATGATGACATCACATCATAACCATATATAGGCACACAACTGTTTTTTTGTCAAAGAAAAAACAGAGCTAATAGTATATGCTTTTTACAAAAAAAAATTATAGGTAAATTTATTATTATATTTTATTATTCTCTGCGGTATTATTAAACTGTAAGTCCGCTGTATCAATGAAGGACCGAGAATATCAAATGGCAATATTATTCAATAAAATGATACGAATATATTGCAGTGTTTTTAGCTTTCATTAGCCAAATAGCCAAATCCTAATAAAAGCTGAATTTAGCTAAATATTTTCATTCCAAATTAGCTAAAAGGAATGGAATTAAAAACTGTAATTCTTTATATTCTTTTGTTTTGGCTAATCAAATTTCTATTTGGCTAATTATTTTCATACCCAATTGCTAAATATTTTTTTTGGCCAGCTTAAACCCCGATATTGTTTCATACATTGAATTATGAAATTAATTGCATTACATTGTTTTACTAATTTTTTAATATGTTTTATTTCTGTTCTGGAGGTTTTCAGTAAATTGAACTTAAAACTTAATTTTGATTGTACAGTATTTGCTGTTGATAATACTTGCTGTAAAATTATTAAGTTACATCATTTTTATTAGTGTATATACATGTACAGATCATTGAATTATACAGTTTAAATACAATTTGTTTAAAAGTTTATTGTTGAAATTACATTAACATCAAACTGGAAAATTGTCTTTATAGACTGCGTTAAAACAATGGTTAAAAACTGATATTGTACTGTAATCCCAAATTATGGAATAAGAAGGATTTACCGAAAGGTCCACTGATTAATCTCAGATAAGATCTCCAAGTATCGAAATGCACGCCATCGTGTTGGGATTCAGTATTTCGACATTAATTATGTCATCATCCTGATGGTGACATAATTAATGTCGAAATATTGAATCCAGACACGATGGCGTGCATTTCGAATCTTGGAGTATGTATTATACTATCTTGGTCGGTAGAATACAATTGAATTATTTTTCTAGGCTTGTAATATAAATCTATTCCAACTTTATTTCTTATTTCAGTAATCAGAAACTATTATACAGTTTGATGTTGTCATTGATAGAAAAGATGAATTCTCTTCTATTTTGATTAGTATCTGAATTTTTCAATATTAGGTGAGGTTGGAAAGGAGGTCGTTAAAGAGCTTTGTAAGTCAAAGATATTTAGCAAAGTGGCTGTGATTGGTAGAAGAGAATTGAAGTACGAGGACGACTTGTACAAGGAAATTGATCTTGTAAGTATGGTATCACCAAATTTAAATAGCAACAACTTTTGTTTGTTAGTCTCTGGGGTGGATGCAGGGGGTGGTGGTGCAGACAGTTCGACCGCTGATATATTACTCTTGCCTTTATGAACATAATACCGGTAAGAATAAGATATTTAAAGTATGAGAGTGCAACTTTGAAGTCCATATTTTCAAAATTTTCTCCCCTTAGCCCCAACCACAGTGGGGCTGAGGTGGTGTGACTCTTAGGTACCCCCTACTACCGCCTAGTCCGCTTCCAGAGCCATCACATTAAATAATCATTTTAAAATATTTGATAAATACTGGATAGTTTGCATGATACGTTTGATGATTAATAATATTACCTTCTTTATAATAATTAATTGTTCTTTAATTATAACATTAAAATTTCATAAAATAATTAGTAAACAGAAATTTTGCATTGTTACTATATTTGTTGTTCTGCTCCCCCTGAATTTTCTCACAATTTGTGGGTCTGACAACAAAAAAAGGTAGCGCAAGTGGGGAAGCAGGAAAAAGGTCATGGTGGTACTCATGTAACATTACCTGTCTATCTATTACTGTGTAATATTTATCCTTATATTTAATACACAGGAGCAAAAGATTGTAAACTTTGATGAGTTGGAAAGCAAGCATGAGGATGATTTTAAAGGATATGATGTTGGATACTGTTGCCTTGGAACAACTAAGGGCAAAGCTGGTGTAGTGAGTAATTTTTGCTTTTACCCCACCAACCAATGAATTGTGTCCATCCCTCATTTGTTTTCAGACTCTAGCATCACACACCGCTTTTGATAACACTTTTTCATGCTGGAAGTCACAGTATGATCCACCGAGGAGTGTAAATGAATACCTGTTACGCTGTGAGTTAAACAGCTTTTGAAATTGGCCTGGTACTGAGCATGTGCACGTAACAAAGAATACTCCCCAGAAAACGGAGAATATTACACATTGTGTTGTGCGTGACATTTGTTAAATTATCCAGTGAGCAGAAGCAACAATATTTCAAGACTAAATATTAACAAATGAAAACAGACTCTAACCAAGACACCATCATTATAATCAAACAATTTCTCTATCCAAATTTTGAAATGTTGGTTAGACCATCTTCCATTATTTTTTTAATGAAATTGGTCAGTATTGTCATTTATCAGGCTCTCTCTAACTACCATATTTATTTGAATAAACTCCTTGGGCCATTTATTGTTGAGAAAGGTTTTTGAGGGAGCATTTATTTCGAGGGAGGCGTTTATGTAAGAGAGGTGTTTATTTTTTAAGGTGTAAAATGTATACGCATACTCAAATAAACACCCCTTAATTTCGCTGTAAATGTGGAACTAAAGACAATTACAACATTAATAGAATGTATCTTGTTTACAATCATTTGTGGGGGGTGTTTATTTGAGGGAGGCGTTTATTCTAAATGAGGCTCTGGAGGGGGAATTTATTTGCGTGGGGCGTTTATTCGAATAAATACGGTATTTGATTAAACCATTGTTCAATAAGCATTAAAATTCAGTGATCATAAATCCAGATCATAGTTTAACTTTGAAACCTTCGTCTTCAGGAAGGATTCAAGAAGGTGGATCATGATTATGTGGTGAGCTCTGCAAAGCTAGCTAAAGCCGGGGGCTGTAAGCACTTCAACCTTGTCACCTCCCAGGGAACCAACAAAAACAGTATGTTCTTGTACCCAAAGACAAAGGTAAGTCATTGAGCTGCAGTTTCGGGGGTTATAGTGGTTACCTCCTAATTCCCTGTACCTTGTTCAGAGATTCTCATGATCCCAAAGTTCATAAGAGACTTCGTGTAATCTTCAGCCTCATGGAATAAGAATTTACATAGATGTCTTAGATGGCATTAAATAAAGTATGAAAAAGAAGAATGAGATTTATATCATTTATCTTTGATTTTTATTATAATTGGAGACCAAAGCTACTGAAGTCCATGGATACTATGTTCCCAAAGTGGTCCTTAATTGGAGGGAGACCTGTGTTTTTTTGTTTTTAAACAAACACTTACTGACAACCGACCTGATGATGACATAATTAATGTTGAAATATTGAATCCCGACACGATGGCGTGCATTTCGATACTTGGAGTATGTATTACACTATCTTACTTACTGACATTTTACTGACTATACTGCTGCACTTGGACGGCACATAGTTTACATCATTTGACTGACTATACTGCAAAACTTGGACTTCACAGAGCTCAACATTAAAACAGGACATTATTTTCTGCAGGGTCTGTGTGAAGAACATGTTCAAGAGCAAGGGTTCCAGCGATTTTCAGTCTATAGACCAGGGTAGGCACACGATATGCTTGAAACAATTTGAATTTTTAATGTAAAGTAGTAACAAAAAATATTTCTAGCTGTTTTTCATATAAACAAAAAGACAAAAAAAAAACAAAACTAGGCTTAACTATGTCTTTTTGTGAAACAGAACACAAGGCTTTTCCTCTTTGCCATCATAATAAGAACTGATATTGAAAATAGAAAGTAAAAACAAAATCATATATATATTTAAAAAAAAACGAAGTTAGAAAATAAAAGTAAAATCACTTGACTCGAACCAACACTGCAATGGTTTTGGTTAGGGTGATGTAGAGATCTAACCATACGGTTATAGAACGGGACCTAGTAGAGTTCTGTGCATTTTGAGTTCATCAACCTTGTTTAGTTTAACAGGTTGAAGGTGAAAAATGTTCATGCATTGCACTATAATTTTTGCTTTTAACCTATCGGTAGCTTCAACATCCTTTAGAAAATGCAAATTGCGTTGGCATAAGAAAAATTTAATTAACCATTTACGAATATTCAAAATATGTAAAATATTTTAATATGCACATGTTGGATATAAGGGTCTTGCCAATTTACAAAGTTTGAAAAAAATCCAAGCACGGAAATGACCAAAGTGCCGGACAGAAAAAAGATCTGAACAAAAGCAATGTGATAAAAGATTCTGATTAATATCTGTTTTAGTGTCTGAAGTTGCATACCAAGGGTTATTATTAGCATACAAAGCTAATGGAGGTGCTTAAAATTCAATTTTGGATTACATTATTTCTAAATTAAATACAGAATAATTAAAATCAAGTTTGCCATTATTAAAAGTTTTAAATTAATGTGATAATAAATCCAGCAATGAAGTGACAGGGATCTATTTATGTGTATTAAAATATATAACAAGACAAAATATTCATGATTTTGAAAAGTGTGGTGTAAATAATGATTACATCTCTATAGGATGTTGCTGTGTGACCGTGAAGAGAAGCGTACCTTTGAAGCTGTCTTTCGCAAGCTGGTGAAGCCAATGGAGTACTTCGCTCCGACTTGGGGCACGGCTCCGACAGTCAGTGTTGCCAAGGCGATGATCAACAATACGGTGACCGCTAGTGATAAAGCATCTGAGATCCTCACCAATAAGGATATTCGTATTCTTGCTGGCGATGTTAAGAAATAAATTAAGATTTATTACTCAATCGGTTGTGAAGATGGATGAGTTGGACCAAGAATACAAGATTGCATAAACATTGTGTAATAAAAAATATATTAAAAGGATATTAAACTACCAGGCAATTTCCTTCCCATGTGAAATGCCCAGGTTTAAGGTCATGGAAGTTCAAAGGTCATGTGTCACACTTGAATTCAATGTATTCATATGGTAATTTAGTAAAAAAAACCCTCTGGCCTTTAGATAAAATATGGTACTGGTAATGTTTTGTTCAAGGACACCCTTGATGGGAACTAATTATTATGTTTCTTTGAATGTTTTGGAGTCATGTGTGGTAGTTAACATATATTACATTTACACTTCTAGGCATGTGCAGTTAATCTGTTTTAGAGTATAGTGGGTATATGTTAGAAAAATATATCACCAATACCATCAATTTAATGATTTTTAATAATTAACTTAATTTGTATGTATTACATGTGTGTATTTATAACTAATTAAAGAAAATAGAATATTATTAATTTAATAAAAGGATATATATATTGTTTTATTTCTTCAGATTTTATGTAATTAAAATTTATATAATGCACCAGATATTTCTTCCTTTACTCCTTTTTAGTGTTTCATGTACCCTTATTTATCCTGATTACAACTCATTTACAACTCTTCTGTCATTTGCAGTTGTATTTTTTTGCACCCCACTTGAATGTTTAGTCCTTGACGGCCTTTATACTTAACTTAATTTTGAATTAGTTTCATCTGGTTTATATATGTTTGATCAATATTAATCTAATCATGTTTGTTTCTTTGTTTTGTTTTAAATAATTCATTGTACTAGTAACTTTATTATTATAATAATTATTGTTATTATTAGATATTTTTTAAATTTTTATCATTATATTATTATTAATACAGTAGTAATGTAATAGTACCGGCATTATTTTTGTAGTGTATTTCAGTCACTAGAATGCTTATTCATTTACACCTGTTTGCTTTGATTAGTGATTGTGCATTCAACATGTAGTCAAACCTGTACTAATAGTATACACACTTGACAATCAATTTATGATCTTTGATTATATCAGCATTTTTTGTTTTGTATTTTTATAAAAATGTTTAATACAACTCTCATAAGGTCAGCTGATAGATTTGCAAAGTAGTTGAAGTTTTATCTGCATGAAATTTCAAGTCGTTCCCATGTTATTATTGAATGTGATCATGGTATAGTACTGTAATAGTATATAGAGCAATGTTGATTTGTGTAGATAAATAATAATAATGTTAATTTGAAATAGCATGTGTATTTTTCCATCTCTACAAAATGTAATCACTTTTAAAAATGAGGTGCTATTCTTAATTAAGAGGGTTATGAACTCGATCACATTCCATAGTGATCTGACTTATACAACTTTATATTTTATCTTTAATTTTACAATGCCTGGATGTGAATCCCATGTCCTGAAGTAAAATAATAAACATGCATAGGCCTATTCATATTTGTGTTGCATAATTTTCTCTGATGTTCTGAATATAGCCAAGTTGCATGTCGTGTTAATAAATACATGTAGCGTAGTTAATATTGTTTAAAATGTAAACCTGAAATATTGTATGGCAGTTGGTACGTACGACAATCGTTGCTCAGACTTGAGACTGGAATCAAAACCCTCGGGAAGACATTTGGTTTATATTGTTGTTTGCGAAAATTTGCATCCCCCACAGTTCTGCACAATCTTCTCCAAATGCCAATGGGGAGGGGGTGGGGCAGTTGAGCTCTATGGCCTGTGAGAGATACAAAGCATGATTGTGTTCTCGTTTTAAAAAATAATTTTTATTATCATTTATAATCATCATATGCTATATTATATTGCTGTAATATTACTTGAATCACATACATTCAATGCATTTACAGTTTTGGTTATTTTTTTCCCGAACTTGTATTAATTTCATTGATGATGAATATTTAGTTATTCTTTTTTTCAATTCCTCAGTGAAACAATGTATTTAGGGGGAAAGATAGAAAAAAATAAAGAATGAGAGAACACCACAAAATATGATACATGTAACATGGTATTATATAACTAAACATATTTTTCTACCGGTTTGATAAAGTATATTTTTTCCTGAAAGAATTGGCAGATGGTAATACTGTACTGATTTATAAACCCACTATCAGTTTAATAATGTAATTATTGTCTGAGTTATTTCAACCTTATACTACTCATCCCATTATATTTTCTATATATGTGTATCATTTTTAATTTATTCATCAATATAGTACTGTGTACTGAAATCAAACCTTATTTACTTCCATCATTATATACATGGTATCGTGTTGGAATGTATATGAATATACTATAAATGTGGTAAAACCAGTGTGTCGTATCTTCTTTATCCACTTGTTTATTTTACTGTACAAGATAACCTTGGATTTGAAATATCCATATTCTCTCATCCTATCACCCGAAGTACTGTATAGGAACAATATTTTTTTAAATCCGCATTACACAAACTTACACCAGGAAATATAAGCATGACAACTAAAATAGCTTTTACGAATCAAGAAAACAGTAGATGTTGAGAATATATCTCTGTCTAAGTGCTATCAATGAATGACCAATATCCTTGTTTTATATACCGGTACAGTATTATGATTTCTATGGGTTGCACAAAGATAGTAACGACATTGTAAATACGAGTGCAGTTTATGTGAATTTAAATTACATTAAAGTACCTTTCTTACGGACACAATAACAAGTATCGAGCTCTTATCGCTAAGGACCAATTTGTCAGGATCGGTTTATACGAAATATAGTTACAGTAGCAATATTTCATAAAATCAAAATAGTACAAATGTATTACAGGAAATAAAATTATGTGTATTAATACAAATTAATTTTAAGAATCAAGAAAAATATCTTGTTCAATATGTTAAGATTATAGATCGTATGGAAAAATTCTCCAAAATAGTGATACGCCACTGTGATTCAATGTTTCGAACTTCATTAGTTAATCTTCAGGAATAAATTGTGTATACAATTAAATTCTTCAAGAGTGTGTAATATAGGCCTGGACTTGCGAATGACATTATCTCAATATCGACAAAAATGCAACGGGAAAATGAGGGGCATGATTTTTGACAAAAAAAGAAAGCAACATAAGGCTACCTTAGGTGGCACCACCTTATGTGAATTCTGTTGAAAATGACAACAAAGTATCAAGATCATATATATACGAATATCTATAATGAATTATAACAATGCTATACCGAAATAAATACATAAAACCTGTGTTCAGAAATAAACTACATAAGCATAGTAGGCCTATCATTAAACTGAATACTAATCTAAATTACAGATTCTATTCTTGTAAAAACCGAAAGGTCTACTGAATAATCTCAGATAAGATAGTATAATACATACTCCACCTGAATATGATGACATATTTAATGTCGAAATAATGAATCGATTACTTGGAGTATGTATTATACTATCTTATTCTTCTAAAAGTGCGTGAAATCCAATTAATTAAATTAGAGATTCTATTGTTGTAAAAGTGCCGTGACCAATCCACATAATATTATCTCAGACAGATAATACCCAAGAATTAAAAAAAATATACTGCAGCGGAGTGATAGTCTAATTACCTGATATTAATTTTAATTACGGAAGGATAACTGTTTCTAAGTAGGCCTAGTTTATACCACGTAATGTAATTTCTGAATCATTGAAACATCGCTATAGTAATATAAGTTTTAATGTAGCCGAGGGCGCGGAATTGTGCCTATAATGAAATGGAAGCTGTAAACGCCAAGAAGATGCACCATACAGGCAGACTGAGTGGATTCTATATTGTCGGCTTTTTTGGATATTTTCCCTCGAATCACTTTTCATTATTCTCCAAATTAAAATAAAGCTGTTAATTTAATTTAATTAATAAAGGAGACTTACGGTGTTGTATATTTTCGATGTCGTTTGTATATTTTGTTTCTATTGGTCTACCAGTTGTTGTCAGCATCAAAATCAATAAATCATGCATTTTTTGTATGTGTACCAGTTGTCAGCATCAAAATTATTTTGTTATTAATTTTGAATATTATTTTCATTAGCACACATTTAAGACAAAGTAATGAGGATATAAATAATTCTATCATCTGATAGAAAAATGTTATTTGTTTTACTTGATTTTCAGTGGTTCATGGCTTTCGCTGCGAAAAATTAATAATACTAGGCTATTATTAATATTTAATGATGAGAATATTGTTGTATTTCTACCGTTTTCTACCATCCAGTATACTTCTTTGTAAGTTATAAATTATTTCTACAGTAAATCTCACATTTTAAAACTAATTTCTGGACGTTTTTCATTTTTTTTTTATTGAAGTTCGAAGTCATTCCCATTCTAGCTGTAATATAATTTGATGTTCAGTGAATCGCGTTATGAATGTGTTAATAATCTTCGTAAA